AACATAAATCTAATCAAAGAATTTTAAATTTTCAAATTAGTACTGTGTGCTAGACCTACATCTTTATTTTCTATTTAAGATAACATTTTTCTTATCATAATGCTGAATAATAGACTATCTTGAAATGTTTAATATTTCTTACATTGTTAGGTAAAAGGCACTTAAAACGATTCCAGCCCTTCTACAAACAAGACTTGGATAAATTAATTTTGGGAATGTCTAGGAATAGTCATTGCATTGAATACTTCAGAAGTTTGCTCAAATTGTCTTAGCTAATAGTCATTAATTTACTTGAATTTTAGTTTATTATTGTAGTAGATAAAGCAGTTAGAAAATAATTTTTAAAATGCTTGCTTTTGCAGAAATCAGCAATTAAAAGATGGCAGAGAGAAACAAAACAAAATATTGATGTATTTTGCAAACTCGTTACCCCAGTCATAAAGCTGGATAACTAGATGTGCAGCAGGGGGCAGCACCAGCTCACAGATTTCTTTACTAAACTTTTTATTGACATTAAGTTACTGGTATTAATTCATAACTTTTAAAGACTAGAACTAAAGGATTTTAAAATTAAAAGAAAATATTAAGGTCTGCTTGCTCTACATTCTAACCTAAAAATGAAGAAAAAGTGAGATCCAGGTCTTGTATGCAAAGTAATACAGAGTTAGTGGTAGTAGAACCAGTATTAAAAGAATAAATCACCATTTCTTTCTTTCTTTTTTTTTTTTTTCATTTCTTTCCCAACATCAAGATTTTAACAGAGGTTGAAAATACTCTAGAGAAACATCTTTTATAGCACTGGCATTTTTATTTATTTATTTATCCTTTGCACTGGCATTTTTTGAAAATAAAAACGAAAACCCAGTTTTGAATTCCTCTAATTTCAAATTATTTAAGCTTTTGAAGTAAGGAGTCTGCCCTTCATGCACTGTGGAAATTCAGGGTCACAATCACACAGTTCATACTATTCATTCACACGCAGTGCAAGTACCAGTGCGGACAATGCTGTTGTCCTGCTGCCAAATGAGACATTAATTTCATCACTAGGTGAAGATACTCCAGAAGAAATCAAAATCAACCATTTCAATATTTTGATGGAAAATCATGAAATTTATTTTTTCCATTGATTTGTTAGATTTACCGTTAATTTCTATTCTAAGAAGTGTGAAAGAAACATCTGGACATTTCAAAGAAAAGAAGCCATTGAGTTTGGGGTTCTTTTTGGTTTGTTTGTGTGGGGCTGGCATCATACAGTCAGCTCAACCCTTTGCAGACACTCTTGTTTAATGAAGAATGAAACTGTCTTTCAAAAGTCGTTTTACACGCCAGGTATCATGCATATGCCTGTAATCCCAGCACTCAGGAAGCTGAGGCAGGAAGATCACACCGGGTTGAATGCCAGCCTGGATTAAACACTTTAAGTTTCAAAGTTACAATAAATCAAAATAGCTTAGCACTGGCACAAAAACAGACACATGGATCCATGGAACAGAACAGCGGATCCAGAAAGAACCTCAGACACACTGAGACACCTGATCTATGCTAAGGAGCCAAAAATACATGGTGAGAAAAAGGTAGCCTCTTAGCAAATGCTTCTGGGAAACTCGCTACCCATGTCAGAATTCTGAAGCTGGACCTCCGTCTCAGCATAAACTAAACTAAACCAACCTAACCTAACCTAACCTAACCTAAACTAAACTAAACTAAACTAAACTAAACTAAACTAAACTACACTATCATGGATCAGAGATCTAATATTAAAAAAGAAACACTGCCCAGTGTGGTGGAATATCCCTATAATTCCAGTGCTTGAAAGGCTGAGGCAGAGGATCATTTGAGTTTGAGACCATCCTGGGCTAAAAAATGAGCTCAAAGTCAGTTTGAATAGCATAGTGCAACCCTGTACTCAAAAAGACAAAAAAATATATACAACTGAAATGAATAGATGCTTCTCAGGAAAAGAAATACAAATGGCCAGTAAATTCATGAAAAAGAAGCTTAATATTACTGGCCATTAATGAAATGTAAATTAAAACAACATTGAAATTTTGTCTTACTAAGAAAGAATCAAATAATTAAGAAATAAAATAAGTACTGGCAAGCCTGTGGTGAAAGAGATACCCTCCTACACTGCCGGTGGGAACATAAACTTCTGCAACCATTATGAAAATCAATAAGGAGACCCCCAAAAACACTTTAAAAAACAGAAATTCCATTCAACCAGCTATTTTCCTTCTAAGTGTGTCCTAAAGGAGTTAAAGACATATTAGAGTGCTGCATCCTTCCAATGTTTATTGCAGGACAATTCGTAATGGTTAAATCTCAGAAGCAGCACATATGCCCATCAATAGACAAATTGTGGTAGATTAATCGTCAGTTTGTAACACCCCGCTGAACAGGATCAGCATGGTACTGGGTGTGAAAGGCCCCCCCTTAGGCTTGTTGCCAGCAGTATGAAAGGAAAATTAGAGGGAAGTCTCTGTGCTTTCGATTCTCCTGCTGGCATTCTTGATATGAACCTGCCTCTTCTCATCATGGGAGGAGTTCGGGACCTCGCTGTTACGGAGGATAGCTATATTTCTCTTTGGGTAGCTCTGGTTTTTACTTTGAGCCTTGCAGCCAGGCTTCAGTGCAGATGCCTCAGCCTGCTGGCACAGATCTTTCATCCTGCTGGTGCAGACTTTCTTCCAGCACTGACCGTTGAGCCTTCCCAGGGCATATGCTTGATACAGACTTCGATAAGACATTGTCATGGGCTCTAGGCCTCCAGCTGGACTTGTGCAGGACACTGCCATGGAGTCTAGGTCTTCAACTGGATTCTTTGGGTTTCTAATGCATAGACAGATCTCTGGTGCATTTCTACATTTGACTGTTTGAATGAATATTATAATGTTATAAATTATGTGTCTTGTATTAAATCTATTCACTTGCAATCCCTGTGAATAGATACAACACAATGGATGAAGAAACATAATGGAATAGTACTTGGCTATAAAGAAGGATCAATCTGAATCATTTATAGAGAAATAGATATAACTAGAAAACAATGTGAAGTATACTGAATTAGACACATAAACTGAAATGCTGAATAAATTCTGTCATGAGAAATTTAAAGTATGAAGAGCAAAATTATAGATAGAAAGAATCTAGGAGCTAGATCTTTTGCAAATACAAAATCAACCAAAATGGGTGGGGTTTTCACAAGGGAAGGTAGGTGGCTATAAAAAAAAAAAAAAAAAAAAAAAAAACTAAGATGTGTCATGTGCTTATATCCACTCTGTACTATAAATGCAATCATTATGTATTGCAAAAGCGAACTAAAAACTAAAAAATGAAAATGGAAAAAAGTCAGGCATAGTGGTGTATGTCTGTAATCCCAATATACGGGAGGCTGAGGCAGGAGGATCATTGCAAGCTTAAGGTCAGCCTAGGTTCCAAAGTGAGTTCAAGGCCAGTCTGAAAGAAAAAGAAAAAGAAAATGGAGGAAAAAGAATCTAGAGGTAGAAGTAAAAAGTGAGAATAATGAGGGAGGAACAAAATAAAATATGTTAAGTACATGTACCTACTCAACATAAATGTAGACATGACACAATGCAAACATGTGCAATAAAAATATTAATTAAAAAAAAGAAGTGTTTACTTTTTCTAGGTTTCTACCTGCATCTAAGCTCAGTAATGAAAAGTTTACCCCATGACACATATTTTTTTAATGTGCAAACAATGACCAAATGTTCATTTAAAAATATCTGAGAGTCAATAAGCTATTTAAATATAATAACCTAATTGATTCTAAAGTTTTTACTATCTAGGGCATATTTTTGTCAGAATATAAGCACACCCATTTCTCTTCAAGTGCCTTCTTAGAATTTGGCTGGTTGCTCAACTTAACTATATATAGGAAGGAGAGAGTAAGTTCTCAATCTTCCGTTTGTTCCTTCTTTTCTTGTGTTGCTCTGTGGTTCTCTCTAACTCTCACTGTCTGTCTCTGTCTCTGTCTCCTCCCTTCTCTCTCTCTGTCTCTTTCCTCCCATCTTTCTCCCCTATGTCTGTCTGTCTGTCTCTGTCTCTCTGTGTCTGTCTGTCTGTCTGTCTGTCTCTCTCTCTCTCTCTTTCTCTTTCTCTCTGTCACACACACACACATACACACACACACACACACACACACACATTCTTGAACACTTGGGCATTCAGTGACTTTGAACTCAGGATCCTCCTCCCTCAACACCTTAGTGCTCAGATTATAACTGTACACTCCGTGTTGATATTTTGCACTCATTTTTTCCAAAAAAAGAAGAGAACCTGTCAAACACTATGTTTAAAAAAATAAGAATAAAAAAAGTTAGGTACTAACTGTTCCTCTCAAAAGACCACAGAGATCAGCAGTACAATTATCCAAATTATCCTGCATATATACATAAATATATCTTTTTCCCTTCTTTTATCCTTTTTCTCATCCCAGTTTTTACTTCCCACTGAACAAATTCTTTCCCTTTTACACTGTCTTTCGTGCATTTCAGATTTTTTTATTCTTGAAATTACAATATTAATTTTATAACTAAAAATATGAAAGATAAACTTAAAAATTTCCTATTCTTGAAAATGCTTTAGAATACTATCTCAAAGCTGCAGTTTAAGGCTCCTTTTCCGTGAAGGAACATAAAAGTTTATTGAAAGCTTTTTAGAATATCAGTACAATTGTCCTTCCCTTAAATATTGATTTTTATTATCCTGGGATGGGATCTATGCATGAATATTATGCAACATCCTCCAGTTGTCATGATATTTATTGAAGGTTATGAACCACTGAGCCTCAGTCACCAGTTTCTTGTTATTACATATGAAAGCTACTTGTCATACTTTCAAAACCCATGGCCAAATCTTGGAGCAACTGCACCAACATCTTATAGATCCTCAGGTAAATCGAATACACATTCCAAACTTGGAATATCTCTGTTAAACCCTGACAACCTTCAGAAAAATTTCCTAAATTTTCAGGTAAGCCAGTGATGTAGATTATCTTGTTTATATCGACACTGATCTAGTTGCCATCTGACGTACAAGCTGTCTGGTTAAATGTCAATATTAGGCGTTAAAAGTATGTCCCATAAAATATCAGAAACTACCTCACATTCATAGTAAAGTATCCTCTAATTTGAATGTCCCTAAAGAAAAAACAATTAGAAGAGCCTCTAATATTTCTAATATTTTTATTTATGAAATCTGATAACTCTACAGACAAAATGCAATGGTTTCATAAAAATTACTGAGAGGCCATGTA